CTCGGGCGCAGGGCATGGCGCGATGGAGCCGCCGCGCACGGCGTCGCGCCACGCGGCGGCGCCGCCCCCGCCGCCCGCTTCAGAGGTGTCGAGCGTAGGGAGCTCTGCAGGGGGCGGCACCTCGGGCAGCGCGGGCCGGGCCCCGCGTGCCCCTCCTGGGGCGGCCGAGCCGGCCCCGAGCGCTTTCAAGGCGACAATGGCGACGCTTCAGCAGTCCAAGGCGGCGTCGCCGGCGCCTGGAAGCGGCGGCGGCGGCCCGGGGAAGCTGCAGGGCGTGCCCAAGCTCGCGCTGCATGTTCTAGGCAAGACGCCCGTGCCGCCGCAGCAGCAGCAACTGGGCTCTCTGGGCCGGCCCCGACCGGGCAGCAGCAGCAGCAGCGGCGACGGCGCGGCCGCCGGCGACAGCGGCGGCGGCTCGGTCGGCGGCCGCGGGGGCGGCGGCGGCACCACCCGCGGCGGCGGGGCAGTTGCGGCGCCGCGGCTTGGAGCGGCCGGAGACGCGGCGGGCCTGCGCGCGGCGGCTGCCTCCAGTCGGATCCCGCGGATCCCAGCGGACGAGGCGGCAGAGGGCCCGCTGCAGGCAGCTGGCCGGGGTGGACACGAGGGGGAGCGCGGCGGCAGACCAGAGGCACAGCCCATGCCAACCGACGCAACGCCGACCCGGCCTGCGGCGCCCGCACGTGACGCTGCCGCGGCCGCTGCCGCGCAGCGGCCGAGCCAGCTGCCTCGCACGCCACGGGCCGGCATCGGCCCGCAGCCCGGCGCGGGGGCCGTTGCGGCGGGGGGCCAAGCGGCAGCGGGCACAGTCCGGGACAGTCCGGGCTCGCGCACTCCCCCTCTTGCGCGGAGGGCTTCCGGCATTGGTTCCGGCCTCACCCCGCGGGGCGCCTCGCAAGGCGCCCCCTCCACCGCTGCCGCCGCGCCCCGCCCGGGCCCATCCCCTCGCGCCGGCCCTCTGACACCTCGGGGCTACGCCGCCGCGTGCGGCATGGCGGGCGTGGCGGGCGGCGCGGCGCCGCAGCGTGCGCCGGGCGCAGGCGCGGGTGCGGGCTCGTCGACGCCGCCGCTATCGTCGCGAGCGTCCTCAGGCATGTGGGCCGGCGGCGCCGGGCGGCAGACGCCGCCGGCGCGGCAGGCGCTGCAGAGCGCCGGTGTGCCCAGCGGGCCCACGCGAACCCCGCGGCCGTCCATCACCCCGAGAGGAAACGCTACAGGCAGCGCCGGCGGTGTTGGCGGCACTGCGGCGCTGTCGCGGACGCCGACGGGTGCTGGGTCCATGCGCACACCGCGCGGGCAGGCGGCTCTCACACCCCGCGGGCAGGCGGCCTTGACGCCGCGGGGGGAGGCGGCGCTCACACCGCGCGGGCAGGCGGCCTCAACACCGCGCGGGCAGCCGGCTCTCACACCGCGGGGGCAGGCGGCGCTCACACCGCGGCGGCAGGCGGCGCTCACACCGCGCGGGCAGGCGGCCTCAACACCGCGCGGGCAGGCGGCTCTCACACCGCGCGGGCAGGCGGCGCTCACACCGCGCAGTCAGCAGCAGCAGCATGCAATGGCGGGTCCCAAGCAGCAGCAGCAGCAGCAGCAGCAGCAGCAGCGGCACGACCAGGCGGAGGGCAGCCTGGTGCCCTCTGTTGACACGCGGCTGCGGATGGAGGAGCAGGCGCAGGCAGTGAGGGACCAGCTGCGGCTGCTGCGCATGCAGGAGCTGCAGTGGCGCCACATGCGGGCCAGGGCGGCGGCGGCGCACGCGGCTCGCAAGACTAAGGTAGGCTTGGGGGCAAGTGCAGGCAATCCGCCAGCGGCGTCCTGCATGATGGGTCCTCCGGGGCGCCCAGGCGCAGGGAGCGCGTGGCTGCGGCGCGGGCGCGCTGAGGCCGGGGGTTGGAGTGTGGCACCAAGGCTGCAGCGGGGCCTGCTGGTCGGGGCTGCGTCCGGGGGCTCGCCGCCGCCCGCTGCAACCCTGCCGCCCACCCACCCTGCCTCCCTCACACGCGTGCCCTCCAACAGGGTGAGCGCGCGCTGGCCTGCGTGTCGGCGGCGGTGGTCGACCTGAGCGGCCGCGTGGCGGCGCTGCAGGCGGCGCACGACGAGGCGGAGTGGGGCGCGGCGCTGGGCGCGGCGCTCGGGGAGCAGCTGCCGCTGCTGCGGGGCTGGGGCGCGGAGCAGGTGCGGGCCGGGGCTGGAGAGGGCGGCCGTCCTCGTGTGCATGTCGTGCTGCACGAAAGGCATGCATCGGGACCGACGCCATGCGTGCGGTTGTGCTGTCAATTTGGCGCAGCTCGCTGTTCGATGGTGGAATCTGCAATGCCGATGCCCAGGCAAGCGCGTGCACCGCCCGCTCACTGCGCGCCGCGCCCCGCAGGACGCCCGCGAGGCGGCCCTGGCCAGTGTGCAGGCGTCGCTGCGCGCCGCGCTCTCGCGCCTGCCGCTGGTCAACGGCGCGACCGCGGGCCCCAGGGCCGCCGCGCCCGACGTCGCCGCGCTGCAGGCGGTGCTGGCGCGGGGGGGCGAGGCCATGGCGCGGCTGCGGCCCGCGTTGCAGCGCTTGATCGGTGATGCTGGGCAGCAGCAGGCGCAGGAGCAGCAGCAGCAGCAGCAGCTACTTGACCGTCCTAACAGACCTGGGAGCACCGTCGTGCGTGGGATCGGGGCCCCGGGCATTGGGGATCAGGAGCAGCAACCGCAGCTCCAACGGTCCCACAACCCCCACGACCCTCAGCAGCAGCAGCGGCAGCAGAATGCCGCGGGCGATGGCAGCGCGAGCGGCACCGCCGGCCCGGCCGGCGGCGCGGGGCGCGCGCCCAGCGTGGCGACGACGGCAGCGTACGCCCGCGAGCTGATAGACCTCGCCTGCGACTCTGTGGCGCGCCTGGGGGGGATCCGCTGCCGCCTGGAGCAGCTGGCTGACGCGGCGCTGTACGCCAACAGCATGGAGGCGCAGCTCGCGCAAATGGCGCCCGCCCGCCGCGCTTGAGGGGCGCACTTGAGGGGCCCACTTGAGGGGCTGCGGGGCCCTAGAGAGGGGGGCCTGCCTGGCTCCGCGCGAGGCGACTGGGGGTGGGCGTCACGCGAGGGCGGCCCGCGGAATATTGCTGAGGGTTGCAGCTTAGTTCAATGCGCAACGGCATTTCTTTCAGGCCGTTGTGATTTGTCACTTGACCAGCGGGTCGGAGCATCCCCTTCCCTCCTGGTCCAGCTGCTTGTGAGGAGGGGCGGGTGGCGGACTGGCCGTGCGGCAAGCTGGTGTACTGTACGGCACACGTGCCCCTCATGGCCTGCTCCTGCCGGTCTATGGGGAGCTGAGCGCGGCGACGCGGTGTTTGCAGGGCTCCGGCTGTCTTGTCCGGGCCCATCGTTACAGTGGGGTTGGCATCGGCAGCTATCACGTGACGCGCGCGCGATTAGGCCTGCCACCCCGGCTGATTACCGTATGTTGAGCAGCTGTGAAGGACTTGGAGGTACCTCTGTAAGCATCCTGTCTTGCCCCACGGTTCGGGTGCCACCAGGTGCTACAACTGCACCGTGCAGTGGTCACCACTGCGCGGCGGTACCTTGCTGCCGCCCGCACTGTGGCAATCTACGCACGGCACGCAAGTACTCCACGCGCATCAGCGTGTGATAGGTCGTAAGGTCAAGTAGGGGGGCCAAGACAGGGCTGCCGCGTTGCAATACTCGCCCTCAGCAGGCTGGTCATCCTGCCGCCCTGCTGGGCCGGAGGGGGGCGGTGCTGGCCAGGCCACCGGGCATGCACCCATGGCAAGATTGGATGGTGCTGCACCAGAAGGTCGCTGTACAGACCAGTGTTGCGGCCAGGATACGATCTCGGCAGAGCGTTGCAGCTTGGGCTGAACCCTCCGCTCCTGGGAAGTGCTTGCAGTACAGCACGGTCAATCCCCTGATTTCCGCGGCTGCATGTGGCGGCCGCAACCCCGCAACGCTCACAAGCTGAGCTGTGCAAGGTAATGTGAACAGTTACAAAGACGCATTTGTATTAATCTGCGCCGTTTTGACATGCACTCGGGTCGTGTGTCATGATTCAAGTCACCGTGGTCACGGGCACCACCGCGTGTGGTCGCAGTGCATATGCAGGAGGTCACTGATGTGGAAGCATTTGTAAAACCAAGTGCAAGAACGGAGATGATGCTTGGGTAGCAATGCGAGGATAGACCGTGGGGCGACGGCCGGTGCGACGCACAACGAAGCTTGCAATAATAACCCGGTCACCCTGCCCCTTTGGACGCGCGCTCAATCAGAAGCGTATCCCAAAACAGTCACGAAGATATTTCACCGTCAACACTGCTTTCAGCGCCGCGCTCACGACGCATCGGAGGCTGGCCGCGGCTATCCTTGGCGGAGGGAAGCGCAGGGACTGCTGGACATTTTATTGGAGGCAAAGAGATAGCATCAGTTACACCGCAGGATGTCGAAGCGCGTGCTCGACCAGCTATGCTCTGGCAAAGGAGCCAGCGCGCTGGCCGCAGCCGGACTGGCAGCTTTAGCGGTGAGTCTGTGTCAGATGGATTATCAATGCATATCCGAATCGAACGCGCTATATGGCGCAGCCCAGTGGGCATGGTCCGGGCTAGGGCGCGGAGGCGCTGAGTAGTGCGCGCGCGCCAATGCGGCGTCGCCTGACGCCCCCGCCCGGTCCCACAGGTCAAGCTGCAGAAGCTTCACGCGACTGGGGAGCTGGACGTTATCGTGCAGCAGCTCCTCAACACGCGGTTTGAGTTCAACCTGGTGTGTGGACCGTCCGGCGGCTCGTTTGCAGAGGATGGCTGGGAGCTGGCCCATATCCACGCGTCGCGGCGCCAGAGGGCAGACCCAGCGCAACGCGTCCCTTACAGCAGCAGGCCACCACCCGTCGCTCATACCGCTTTCCTGCCAATCAAGAGTGTATCCCTCGCTTGCTCCCAGCGGTTGTTGCAGCCCCCGCTGCTGCGGCCCCAGCTCGACACCCGGGCCAGGCTCACCATATTGCCCGACCCCCCCTCCCCCAAAATGCGTTGCCGTTCGTGCCCGCTTGCCCCGCCCGCAGCTGACCGCGCTGGCCGTCGCCCTGGCGGCCGGACTGGTCCTGCTGTACCGCGCAGTGCGGCAGTCCGATCCGGTCTACCTGGTGGACTTTGCTATGGCACTGCCGCCTGAGGAGTGGAAGTTCCCCAAGCAGCATTTCCTCAAGGCCAGCGCCTGCAACCCGGTGAGGCTCCCTCGCCCAGAGCAGGGATCCGCCAATCGGCGTCGCTGGGTTGCATCGCACGCCCCGCGCGCTCGCCGGCGCCCGGGGAGGGGGGGATTGCTCGGCGCTGGCGGCGCGCGGCAGGATGGGGGCCGCCGCTGGTGTCATGTTGACTCCTGGCGTGCAGCTGATCGTGTCGGCAGCAGCAGCCTGGGGAGCCGCGTCATCGGGCCGGGGCCGCAGCCTCTCGGAGGGCGTCCTCCTGGTGGCCCGGCCTCCGCGCACCCTGGCACGCAGAGCTGCCTTGCCTGCTGCGCCCACACAGCGCCCGCCGTTGAGCTGCGGCACCGGCCAGCCTCGGCTGCGTCCCACCTTGCTTGCGGGCGCGCCCGCCTTCTCACGCACCCCCCCCCCGGGGTCCCCAAGCCTCCCGGCCCCCACCTCTCCGTTTGTCACCCGTCCCGCTGCGTCACCCGCCGCCGCCGCCCCCTGTACCGCAGGACTTTTCGAAGGACGACATGGAGTTCCAGGAGCGGATTGTGTACCGCAGTGGCCTGGGTGATGAGACCACCTGCCCGCCCTGTGAGATATTACGTTGGGGGTAGACGCTTGGGGCATGCTTGATATCATGTGGGAACAGCGGGACAGATGGGACGAGCAGGGACGAGCAGGGATGTGGATGGCACGTCGCAGGACCAGCAGATGGGGCGTGCCAGAGGGACGGATGGTTCGAGTGTAGGGCGTTGGCGGCTGCGCTGCAGCGCCTGCTGCGTCTCGCGTGAGTGTTGGAGCCGCGCTGCTTCGTCGGATCTGCCGGCCCCAGCTCGCGCGCGTCCCAACCCCCCTGACTGGCGTCCTCCCCCACGCGTGCACTTATGACCCCCTGCCGCGCCGCGTCCTATGTTCCGCCAGGGCTGGGCGGCCACCCCTTCTTCTTTGACATGGCCCACTCGCGGCTCGAGTTTGAGGTCACCTGCTTCTCCGCGGTGCAGGAGCTGCTCACACGCACGGGCGTCCAGCCGCGCCAGGTGTGCGAGCATGCGGTTGTGTGCGTGGGCGCGAGTTTGCATGCGCTTTTTGGGGGCCGCGGGGCCGCCACGGTGCAAGATAAGGTGGTGCTTGCGCGCCAGCTGGCCTTGGTGGACGCTGGGGAGCGGTCCCTAGCCTACGCTGCCCCTCCTGGGCGCGCCGCGGCTCGTGGTCGTGCGCTCGCCCGCAGTGCCGCCACCCTCACTT